ATTTGATTCGAACGATTGGTGCGTCAGATTTATTTTTAATTTTTTGTGGAACTCGGCGAACATCACGAGGAGTTGATCACTCCTTCCCGAAAGGGTTCTCGGCATGTGCACGTTGATGTTTTTCATGTGCGTATGTTTGCGAGCATGTTTGTACGATACATATATACTTGTATGTGTGTACCCACATGTTTGGTTTAGTTGTTGTGAGCGTAGGCCGTTACGCGAGGTTGAAGGCTTCCACAGGTTACCCCTTCTTAACCTTCTGAGGAATAATTCTCACAGGCTGGGGCAAAATTAAGTCCGAGTGGGTACAGACGGGTGGGAATTCCACAGAGTTGGCATGGCTGTTCAGCCTGCAGCGAGCCTGCAAGTCGAAGCCGCAGGCATTCATCATCATCCTCATTGACTGCCCACCGCAAGACCGCAAAGCGTGCAACCCCATTAACAGCAAGTTTAGGCACTGTGGCTAAATGGGTCAACCAAGCCCACGATACCCCACCTGGTAGGAGTTGTAAGCTTACTCTAGACTGTAGATATTGCAGTGCGTGCACTTGGATGGCTTCGTAAAGACTGAGTTTCAGCTGGCGGAGGAATTGGAAGTGTTTTTTTCTGGTGTTTTGTCCTGCAGTTATGCGTAACAAGTTGCCGACTGTGTCAATTCCGAGCAGGGGAATCCATGTTCGGAAGATGCGTTGGACAACCGCTCCTTGCCTTGTCCCTACATCCGGGTACCCCGGTGAGAGAAAGGCAGTAGAGCCATTTTGTCTAAGCCAATAGCCCAAACACGCTGCAGTGAGTGTGACCGCTGGGTCTAGGGCAGGAGCAATATCTAACCACCGAAATATGTGTGGGAGAAACCGTGCGGCCAGCCATGGTCTGCCAAGGATGAGTTTAGCAGAGCGTTGTTGGTATAGATTAATGTCGTCCGGAGTAAAGCCAAAGTATGTACTTTGGTAAATATTAAGGGACAGAATAAAGCAGTTATTGGCAAGGCTTCTTTGCACTACGGAGTGAGCAGGTGTGGCGAACAGGGCCAGCCTATGGTTTGCTTTGGACATGGCTTTGGGGTTAATGGCTTGTGTGCCTATAAGTTCCTCTACAGGGGTCCACCCTTGATGACTACGGGCATACTTACCATATAGGAGCAGACCAAGCGCAGTAGTTTTTCCCTCAATGAGGTGGGCTCCCCAGTCGGAGCATTCTAGCGCATTCAGAGTACTATGGGAGGCTGGGTGATTAACCAGTACACTGCACTTGTTGGAACAACTACACTGTACCAGGAAGAGTGGGTCAATTTTAGCAAGATGCTCTCCGGCTAATATTAAATCAACCTCTGCTGGGGTGAGACACACAAACAAATTTGCTCGGCACACTATGGTGGTGGTGCTATAACCCGCTCTGTGAACCAAGGCTTGCCGCAATGTAGCATGTCCTGGTAAACTTGTTGCCCAATTTAACGGAGGGTATTGGTCGATCTGACCAGAGCTAGCTGCATGCATATTGATCCCACTGGTTCGCCAGCAGTGGTGTTCATCTATTTGGATGCCAGCGGATTTCAAACGGATGCAAGCTTGCCAGGCATCGGTGAGCCATTGCATGCCTGCCGTGGTATCTCCCACCATCGTGGTGTCGTCAACATAGCCTTGAACTGTCAGCATGCCGGGGATTCGGTTAAGGTAGGTCAAAACTGGATCCATGGCAACGCAAAAAAGCAGGACTGAGAAGGATCGACCCATGTCAACGCCTGTGACAATCATTTTTGAGGGTAACAACTTGCCTTGGACCTTGTGCCGACATCTTCGAAAGAGAAGGATGTGCCGGGTATACATGATGATCCACCAGGGGGCTTTACATGCTGATAAAATTTGCAAGATCCAGTGAGGGTTAATCCGCTCGAATGCTTTGGAAAGGTCCAATGACAGGCATGCGCATGGTGCATCTTGATCGAGAACAGCTTGTACGGATTGGACAGCACTTTGCGGTTCGCGGAAGACATTTAACACCGTTTGAGAGGGGTGGAGTAGTGGAGCAATAGCTTTGGTCATGACTGTCGCGATGCTTCCGTCTATGACTCTCTCAAATGTCGATGGCATACCTAGTGGACGGAAGTTATCAGCAGTGGGGCCCATTTTGGCTTTCGGGATCCATGCTTGGACTGAGCAAGGGGGAGGGACTGCGGATCTACAGATATCATTGAGATGCGTAATCATCGCATCAGATGACACTCCAGGGTGAAGTCGCCATGCTGCATAGGGTATTCCGTCAGGACCTGGGGAAGAATCGTTGGTGGCAAGGACAGTTCTGATTAAGTCCACTGCAACTTTGATTTCATCAGAGTTGCCCAAGTCAATGGTGAAAGTCGGCACCTTTGGTGTAAATCTATTTGAACTGTGGTCCACTGGGAAGACATTGCAGCCTGCTTGTCTCATGGCATGAGATAAACTACCTGAACCAGAGAAAAATTCCACGAAAGACGCTTGACGTGACTCGTGTGGCTGGTTCTCGGTGGACCTTTGTCAGTGTTCACATTGGTTGTATGGTCGCTTGGCTCCGCACTTGAAGCACTCATGAATGCCAAACTTGCATTTGTTCTCTTTCTGCTTGTTGCAAAGGCCCCACTGATATTTAAGGCAACACCATCCATTCTGTCCTTTACGTTGACAACCTTGAGGAAGCTTTCTCCAGTTGGTACCAAAAGGTGCTGCCGGCGCCTTTGGGGAACCTCCACTTCCTTCTGCTGCCGGCTTGGTCTTTTTGGGAGCCGGTGCTGCAGGTGGCTCCTGGGCTTCACGTTTCTGGCCAGGCAGTGGAGACAAGAAGCACAGCACTTCTGGGGACGTTGTCAATTGTTCGATCAAATTGTCTAAAGGGTAAACATCTGGATGGAGAGAGTGCAAACTCCCCCGACTCCGCTGGGAGAGCAACATCCAGAACTCCTTGTCACACTCGCAAATCTGCTGGGTTGAAACATATCTGTAGCCCGAAGGTGGTTCTTTGAGCTTTGCTCGCATCAGCTTCGTCGCCCATTTTTCCAGTACCACAAAGCTTGCTAAACCAGTCTGATCGAATGCTAAGTTTCTTCGTGTCCAGGCATTTCTAAGGTTCAATTCTCCACTGGTATCACACTTCAACTCCTCAGCACGCTTGCCCATCTTGACATTTCCAACAGCGTCAAATGTCAAAGCAACTTCATGTTTTTCTTGTTGGATCTCCTGGATGCGGCTGATGCACTTCTGAGGTGGAATAAAAACCAAAGTGCCATCTTCCTTCATGGTCAAGATCTTGTCAACCAGCTTGTGAGCTGGCTCCAACTCTGCTGTCCATGTAACTCCAATCAGTGTTGACTTTTGTCTTTCTATGCGTGTCATTCTTTCAGCAAGAGGCATCACCCGAGGTTTGTCATCAGCACTACGGTCAATTCGAGCTTGCATATCTGATACCGCGTAGGTCTTACCCTCAAAGAAGAGTTTGCGACAGTAAATCATCTCCTGAGGAGTCACCTCTCTTCCAATCAGGGTCTGGACTGCTTCTTTGACTGGGGTGTCATCTGCGCTGCTAGGGTCAGACGCGCAACAGAAAGCCCATTGCCCAAATGTGTTCAAACCACCGTCTTGCAGTTCTGAAATAAAACCATCTGGCACCCCAATCGCTCTTGCCCGTGACTCCCAAGCAGCTTTGGATTCCAAAGACACCATTGCCGCGAGGAAGGTCAGGACACACGAAGTGACGTGAAATTGCAAAACCATCATGATAAATATGTTCATGTGAAAAAATGTCAAGCTCTGCACAAGTTGTTTCAGCGCATAAACTCAAAACAATATAAGAGTGCACAAACGCTGTCCTAAGTTCTGAACGTTGATGATGTTGGCATAAAGACCGATTGACAATTGCAACTGCTCACAAGTGTTTGGATTACGACGAAAGTCGCCTCAAACTGCGTGGCATGTTTGGCAATTGATTCCATGTGAAGTTGGATTGTGAGATACTCACCTCAACTTTTCATGGTTGTATGCTCCTTGAGGCACACTTGAATCACAGTTTCAAGCTATTTGCAAGAGTTTGGATTGCGACTTTCATGGGCCGCCTCAAACTTATTTTGCAATTGAAACAAATTGGACGGGTGTCTGCTGTCAATCTGAATCAAATACTTATAGCAAGATTAAAACACGTGTAAGGAAACAAGACGGGTGTTATAATAAAAAGAGAAACTTGTTGACCTCTTTGGACTTTGCAAACTTATCCAACTTGGCCAGCTGCGTTCCTCTTTTCTCTAAGGCTTGGACTTGTCGCACTGTTGGCAAACCAGCAGCTGCTCCCAGTCTGGGTCGCCGATCTGCCACGCTCGGTAGTTGGCTGACTTCTTACGGCCACACCATAAGGTCTGTTGATCTCTCAGAACATGAACGACCATGGACTCTTTGTGGAGGAGTCTATCACCACAAACCTCACTGGCCTGTGTCTGATGGTCTCTCATGAAATGTGCTTCTTCGTGCAAACTCTCATCTCCAGACAAATCTGACTCGGAGGCAGCCCAGTCGCAGGGAGGCTCCACTACCTCCTCCGGAACCTCAAACAAGTCTGCGTTGTCTTTGAAGATCCTGGCAGCATTCGGGGCATCTGGATCAAACTCAAAATTTCTGATTGCTGTGAGCATGCGGAAAACTCTGGAATGCAAGGCAGTGAGGTTGTCTCTCGAGTAAGTCAACGGCATCATAGACCCCGCATCCATGTGATGAGTCAGCATCCGTCTCTCATCAATCGAAAAAACACCAAATTTTCCAGCCCAAGTTGGAATGGTTGCTTTGCATGAGTGTGTGCTGCACTTGCAAGCTTCCGACAACGTAAGGCCAACACGCATGAGGATCTCTTTGAGCCACATGTTTGCCTCTGCCGTTGTTAAACGCCTGCTTCAGAAAACGCTGGCATGATTGTTGCATACTTCTCTGACTCGAGCTGCATCTTCCATTTGATGCTCCATGGGTTTGGGTACACCCCCCAACCTACTGCAGTGAAGGGCAACAACATTCTCCTACGTTCCATCGTTGCAGTGTCTTGGCTTCCGTTTTGGCAGCCTCCACAAGATACACTTCCTGGAATTGAGAAAAAGTCACCTCTGTAATCTTCGAAGCATCCCCAACACGGCAGCTAGAGAAAATGCAAAAGAGGATGAAATTGACAAATCTGGAATCCACGGCATTTCTGGTTTGAAGTGCATACTCCTCCAGGGCTCGGACCACGCGCGCAGGAAAGGCAGGAGCCTGCTTCAAGATCCTTTTCCGCATGAACATGTCTCTGCAGACTCCTGTAATTCTGGATGAAAACATGTCAGCATGAAAGTCAATGAGACCTGCTGAGGAGTGCATGAACCATACTGCTTTCACCGTCGCATCTGCTAAGGTCGGGGCTGATCCTGATTCTCTCAAAAACAAAAGGTACTGATAAATAACATTCTCAGACACCTGCATTGGCCTGAGGTCCAGCTGCCGGTCCATCCAGACTGCCAGCTTGTAATAGTCCATTGACTGCCACCACCAGCTCCAGCACGAGTTTCAAGTGCGCCAAAGACGCCACCGAAGACGCCTCCAAAGGCGAAAGCTGGAGAGCCCACATCGCCTAAGGCGAGCCCAGGTGCAAAGGCATCACCAGCTGTGGATTTGGTTACTCCGAAGAGCCCTGAAGCGAAAGCAGCGTCGCTTGTGGGCGAGCTGCCCCATAGGCCATTCAGAGTTGGCCCAGGAGGAGCACTGGAAGCTGAGACAATTGCCCCTTCATCGGGGTACAGTATGTCTATGATTTCAAGAACCTCAGTTGCAAAGGCACCGGCCAGTGAGGCCCCGCCAGAGCCTTCTGAGACATCAGGGAGACCGCCCCAGCGCCGTATGGAAGCCTGCATAGCATGTCATGGCAGTGGAGAACTTCCGATGCGAGCAAATCGGAGGTTGTTCAGGTTGTTGACAACGACGACAGCGTCAGCAGCAACTGCGACTGCAGCGGCCCGAGTTGGAGCAACGGCCAGTGTTTTGTCTGCAATTTCAGGTTCGAGTTCTTCAGAAGCTGATGTGACCCATTTCCAGAGTGAAAGGGGGGTAGGTCTTTTTGTTGAGCTAGCCTGCAGCAGAGCCAGTGTCTTGTCAGCTGCATGCGCTGAGAGCCGTGCTTGTTATGTTGGAGTTCACGGAAATTTTGAGAAGGTAGCTACACAGAATCAGGTTGCAGATCTTGTGAACCAGGTGATGGAGGACTTGAAGATGACCAGATCAGCCTCTGATCGAGAGCTGGGAGAGGTGCATTTGTTCTGTCACGTTCACATGTCATTACCGTGCACAGGTGGATCTCCATTGCAGAATTTTTCGGGTGGGAAAAGAGTCCCCGAGCATGAGCGAAAGTTTTTCGAACTTCTAGCCGCTTGTGAAAAGTTGTTGGATCGGTTAGTAGAAAGGCATCCCGAGTTGTCTATGTCTTTTGAATTGCCAAATTCCAACAGGTACTGGACTCATCCGAAGCTGCAAGCCTTTGTTCAGGCCAGAATTCCATTCAGGTCTGTTGTCCATGCTTGTGCAATGGGAATTGAAGTACTGCCAGGATTACCCATCAAGAAAGCGTTCAGGATCATGTCAAGTTCCGAGGAGCTTAGTCAACGTCTTGAGAAGCGTTTTCATTGTGCTTGTGATTTCCACGCATCATTCAACTTTTCTGACTTTCAGTTGTCAGAAAAATACTCCAGGAAGTTTGCCAGATTTTTTGTGCGGATGCTCGCATTACTTGCCCTCAGGTGATCGATGGCGTCGAAGCCACGCTGATTTTATCGCCTGATCTTCCCTGAGGAAAAAGGAAGAGTCTGCTGCATGAGTGGACTTGTGAAATTTTGGATAACTTGAACGACTTGTGAAGTCATCTTGAAGTTTTGATAGACTTGTGAAGTCAGCTGGATAGAGAAAGGTCTTTAAATGTCTGAGACATGAGGCTGAAACTCTCTTTGATCGTTGCCCTGTGCGTTGCTTGGGTAGTCGGATCTAATTATCGAGACTTTGAGGTCTGACGATTGCATGATATAGTTCTGAATCCAATTTGAATTGCAAGAGTTGCAGAAGTCTTTAGAAGACATCGAGAGGATGATCTTTGGACTTTCTTGGATTTTCTGTGGACTTTCCTTGATGGACTGTCTTTGGAATGCTTGTGGACTGCTTGGAATGGATTTCAGCTTGAGCTTGATTGGATTTCCGCAGCCATTTGTGTGTGTGGGCAGGTCGCGCAAGCCATGGCCACTGGAGAGATGGAAGAGCTCTACTGGCTCTTATTCTTTGTATATACACTGGGTTTTCTATCTGGTATTCTTTCAGCTTACTGCATTACGAGATGTTGCAAAAGCCGCAATACAACTGCAAGAAATTCAGGTACAGCTATGAATAATTCTACAGCTTTGTCTTGTGACTCTGACGGTGAAGGCCCAGGTACTCGTATCTATTGGAGTTTTTGCCGAGAGATGTATCACTGCAATGAGAAATGCAAGGTTTTGATTGCCGCCGCTAGTCCAAATGGACACATTCGATGCCGAGACAATTGCCAGATTTGCCAACCGGAGACTGGACCCTTGTTGGTTGTGACTTCAACAGGATCGAAGTATCACTGTTCAGGTTGCCGTACAACGGAGAAGTCAAAGCAGATGACGCTGTCAGCATGCCCTATCTGCTATGGCATGAGGAATGTCAAGGCCGAGTGACTGAATTCGTTTTGAATTTGAGTCGCACAAGTTCGAAAGGGGGTGTGAAAAATCATCCTATGTATAGCTAGCGTAGCGATCTTGTGCTTGAACTTAGGTAGTTGTTAGTTGCTTTGTAGTTGTAGTTTGTGGACTTGCGTAGTTTGGACTTTGTTTTGTAGTTAGCAGGTGATTGTGATGTAGTGAATCGATCTCATCTCATTCCGTCACAAAGAGTTGTGACGGAGTTGCCATTTTTCGTTTGTAGTTAGCCGTTTTTGTGTTTTCTGCACGTTGTAGGGTATTCCACACGAGAACCAAACTGCACGAAACCAATCTTAGGTTTTTAGGAACCGAGAAACCTGTTTTGCACGTTTCTAGATTGGTAGAATCGTTTTTGCACAATTAAGTTTGTAGAGATTTTGGAATCTCCTTGACTGGACCGGAATCCAGTTTGCTTTACCCACAGAAACTCACTTAGTTTCTGTGTTCTGAACTGTGTTTACCAACGTGAACGTTGGCTCAAGCCTGCGAGAGCGAAAAGTGTGTGAGTGTGTCGCCGTGAGACGGCCTGGGAGAGTCGATACTGCAGAAACGCGAAACGATCGCCGTTTGTTTGTGTTTTGGTTTGGGTTTACTTTGAGCACGAGAGGTTTGAAAGCGGTTTTCGCGATCTGACTTTGTGTGTCAAAGTTTTACGACTAAGTGAGTTTCTGTGGGTAAAGCAAACTGGATTCCGGTCCAGTCAAGGAGATTCCAAAATCTCTACAAACTTAATTGTGCAAAAACGATTCTACCAATCTAGAAACGTGCAAAACAGGTTTCTCGGTTCCTAAAAACCTAAGATTGGTTTCGTGCAGTTTGGTTCTCGTGTGGAATACCCTACAACGTGCAGAAAACCTAAAAACGGCTAACTACAAACGAAAAATGGCAACTCCGTCACAACTCTTTGTGACGGAATGAGATGAGATCGATTAACTACATCACAATCACCTGCTAACTACAAAACAAAGCCCAAACTACGCAAGTCCACAAACTACAACTAGAAAGCAACTAACAACTACCTAAGTTCAAGCACATCGCTACGCTAGCTATACATAGGATGATTTTTCACAAATGCATTATCTGTGAACTCACCTCATGTTACAGTGTGTGTGCAATGTGCACATACCTGTTGTGCACACCCGTGTCCACGTTTGTTGTGCCCTTTCACGCGTTGCGTGTCTGTGCGCTGTTTGGTTCTGTTTACATGTGGGTGGGGATCTTGTGCTGCGTGGTCTCTTGATTTTTATCTGCGTACGTGATTTGTTGTTGCGATCCTTGTTTTGTTTTGTCTGCCGGTTTAAACTTGTTTAAACTGACAACCCGTGCAACTGTCAGTGATGTGCTGTTGTTTGCCATGGCATTTGCATGCAATCTAATCTGTCTAATTTAGCGAACTTCTGTTTTAAGTTTGTTTGAAAAATTAAACCAATACAAACACAGTACAATGAACACAAATTGAGCGGAAGACATGTTTATCTTGTGGTGGCCAATTTGGTTCCAAGTTGAACAGGAGCAATGTGCTCCCACCCTTTTTCCCATCCCGCACATGTTCCGTTCTTTATATACTGTGTTGTGGTGTATTGGCCTAGCCCTAGCCTGTGAAGGCTAGATGTGGCAAGGCTAGATGTGGCACTTGGATCTTCCCCCGCCTATTTGTGAGTGAAAAATGCGTGGCCGAACATTTCCAATGTGCAGTGATGTAAGTTCTTTTTCAGTGATGTCAATTTTTAATTTTGCGACCAGACAAACATGACGGTAAACCTGGTTCAGTTTGTGTAGAATACGCGTAGGGATCACGCTAATAATGTTTCCCCTCCCTACATGTTCATGTGAACCGTTTTGCGTGGCCGGGTGTGTTTGTGGGTGAGTGTGAAGATAAAGGTTTGTGAAGTTTCAAAGGTCCCATACATTGGTGTAGTTGCTAAGGTGCAGAGTTCTGGAACGTTGAGTCGTGTAGCTGTTTGCATCCGACAGTGGAAGAACTCTTCATGTCCGCCGTGGGTGCATATTCATGCATCGACTCCTTGTGGAAGTGGAAGTCCGCTTCGCAACTTCAATCCGGACTCAGTCACGGAGAAAGACCAGGAATGGGATGAGATCATCAATTCGATTGGTGGTTACTTCAAACATGCAGACTCATGTTCGTTTGAGCTTCCAGAACGAAATGCCATTTGGTCCCGACCTGAGACAGTGAATCTTTTTGAGAGTTTTGACATGAAACATCAGGCTTTGGTGAGGTTGTGCAAGACTGGATGTCAGAACAAGAATGGTATTCCAATTGGGAAGACGTTGAAGTTTGTTTCCAATTCAGTTTCATTTTCATCAAATCTTCACTCCAAACTTTCAACATGTACATGCCAGACTCATGCAGAACTTAATCAAATCAACTATACTGACACAGCGTTTTACAACAGAAAGTTGGAAAGATACATTTTGGTTGCAGTCAAACATGCTGCAAAGAAGTGAGATTTGCGTTTGAAAGGGTGAAGAGAGAGTGCACTGAGAGAAAGACAGAAGTTGACGTCACGTTTCATTTTCCTGTTTTGCTTTTTGCTTTAAACAAACGTTGCCAAAGACAAACAGGAGTTTCACAGTATTGCAGTTTCAGTTCATTTGTGCAGAGTTTTGTTGCGCGATTGTGTAAGACGCGGTGCGCGATGCGAAACAATTTGAACAGTCTCTATGCCTATCACGGATGTGATGGTGGATCGACACTCCGTTTCATGCAGGTACTAGGTTGATTGCTCC